TGGAAATCGGCTCTTCGGATTCTCATATGGTACCGCTATCCGCTACATCAACACGCTCTCTTCCATTATTATAAATGGCGTTGCTCGGTCGGCCACGACTGTTAGTTTCACACACACACATAATATATATATATATATATATATATATATATAAAATATATATATATATATAAAATCCGGTGTTCTTATTGATATTTTTATAAATCAGTGCCCAATGTAAATTTACAGAGCATAAATATAAATTAACTGGTTTAAAATGTTTTTTCGCTACACAGTAATAACCATGTTTTAAAAATGGAAGCTAAAAACTTCAAATTTAATTTTGTAATTAAATTAAAAACATTAGTTCCATTTCATCTTCAAGCGAATTTTGGAGTAACTTATTTTTTAAATTTACTGAGTTTTAAAGGCACAGAAAATTCATAATTCACTGTTTCCAAGGATACAGAGAAATCCAATCATTCAGACAAGGGGTGGTAGTGTGTTCATTTTTATTAACTTTTGTTGTATCAGTTAAAAATGAACACGCTACCACCCTTACTATCGAGAGACTTGATAATTTTGAGCGAAGAATAGAGATATTGAAAATCGAATCATATGGGAGAGTGGTTATTCAGATTGGGAAAAATGTCCGGTTTAAAAATATTCCTTTAAACCCTTAAAATACTTACGAGGAAGTGGGTCTAGGAAGAGTTTGAAGCAAGATTCAGTATAACTGACAGTCCTGATCCAACTCGAGGATGTTGGTATGGCATGACAAATGAATTTGCCAAAAGATCACAGGTTTTTGGTCGCTCGCTGGATTTGATGATTTAAAAACTCATTCGTCGTATTTGCGCTGATTTCAATGTATTTTTGGAAACTTAAAAACAAAATTTGAAAAATACTTCGTGGTCGGCCATCTGGTTTTCTTGCAGAAGGTTCTTTGTTTCTGGCTCTCGGGAAAATAGACAAGGTTAATATAACCTTGTCTATTTTCCCGAGGCTAATCGTCAGGGTCGATCCTTGGCCACGGCAAAAAAAATGTAATCACGTGGGCCACTCTCCTCCCTCTCACTATTTCCTTCTTTACGAAAAATGAAATTGTCGCTTTATAGTTTGCACGTAGCCGACCAACACAATTTATAGCGCTATAATATTTCAGCTCACTCGTAACACACAGAAGACATTTCTTTTGTGTGTATTACTGCTCCTTAGAGAGTGAGCTTACTTATTTAAAAGTATAGAATATAAGTTAGCCTATCAATTGGATTACACAACTTCCCAGTTTTCTGAACAGGAGTAGAGGTTTATCCACTACTGCTTGTTTAGGGCTGGGCTTCCGATTCCTTCAAAAATAATTCTTTTTCAATCCTATTAGAGCCATGCGTCTTAGAGGCATTATCTCCTTGCTGGGAGTGAGTTCATTAAATATATTATCCCTGTCAATTATAGATTCACCATATGTCGAGGACGACACCAGAGTTTTCATTTTTCCTTCATCTCAAATAAACAAATTGCAATTATGGCTTAAAGCAATACTTAACAAACGAACATTTTTGGCTTCCTTATCTATGCCTCAAACAAATTAGATTAAATTTTTGAAATTATTCGCATTTTTGCAACAGATCAAATTGAGGAAAAATTATATTGCGTTTCCGAAACAGATGCATAGGCGTCCGAATATGCAAATTACTCTGCACTTAAAAGAGTGCTTGCAGAAGAAAACCTGATTACACTGGGTGAGCGAGAAGCAATCAGGGATTGGCGATGATCAGATGAAAGTGATATTCAATGATTAATTCCAGATGTGAATTGGCCAATGCGATGATGTAAGAAAGTATATCTAGTGTCATTTCAACGAAATATTCAACAAAGAAAACACCACAAAGAAAAAAAATATTCGCTCATTTACATGATTTGGTTTGGTTTGTTTTATAGCATATCAACGTCAATGAGTGACTTAATGCCGACAAAATTTTTTATTTCTGGTAATATTTTTTCTTCAAAAATGTATAGCTTGAAATATATCCCCCCCACACCAAAAAAAAATATCTGGTAATAAAATTTTTTAACAAAGTATTTCTGGTATTAAAACCTATATTTACACTTAAATAGTGTTTTGACTCCAGTTTGGGGGCTAACTATTTATCCATAGTTGGGACCCAAACAGGTGCTACCAACCCGGTTCAGGGTGGACATAGGAACACCAACAATTAATAGGTGGTTCTACGCTCCTCAAAACCTTCTGAACAAAAGGACTTGCTGTCAGATGTAGTTTATCGTCATACCCAGGACGATCATTTACACGAAATTGTAAAAAAAGTTAAATCCTTGTTGGGGGAGGTGGGAAGGATAATCATTAGATCCAAATCTTATTCCAAGTCATGCGTAGGAATATTTTTCTCGTTCTCACAAAGGAAAATAGGTTTGAGGACGAAATCATTTTTCGGGATGTTACAGTTGGTTGATTGATTGTGTTTCGTCGCATCTAATTTCAGTATAAAATGTACTGTTAATTTTTTTTTTTTTTTTGCTGGGCGTGGTCGAGAATATTGGCCCATAGCTGAGATTCTAACAGGTGCTACCACCGCTAGTCATGGTGGACCTAGGAACAATAGCAGTTAAAACGTAGTTCCTTTTACGCAAACTACCATTTAGCCTTTCGGACTTTTCTAACCAGACGCTTCTCTGTAGCTGAATGGTGAAGTACGTCAGGATAAATTACGGTATCCGTAAAAAGGAATACGGGTTCAATTCCTGTCAGAGAACGCATATTTTTTTTTTTACGAAACTTCTCGAATATTCAAGCCGGTAAATGTATTTAATACTGTTTAATTGGAAACACAACATCTATTTAACAAATTAAATAGATAAAACTACTGTTCTTGTAGACTGATCTCTTATTTATGACAGATTCTTTTTGTAAATGTAATTAATACAGCATTTACTTAAAATGTATCTATAAAAACAACGTATAAACAAGAAAATATATTAAATAATTGTCGGACTCAATCCTATATATATATATATATATATATATATATATATATATATATATATATATATATATGTGTGTGTGTGTGTGTGTGTGTAGATAGAAGTCAGCACTTAGAGGCGACAGTGTTTCATGCAAGATGCAATCGTCGTATAGCCTCTAAGTGCTGACTTCTATCTTCACTTTTAAATTTACACACGCTCTATCTCTGATATTGAGCACTTTATCCCATAAATATAACACAACTTAAGATTATATTTCTTATATATATATATATATATATATATATATATATATCTGAGATGTGGTATTATGATTATTTACATTATATGCACAGTTATCCACTTCTTTATTGCCATATTCACAACGTTTCGGCCGTCGTACGCTCTGGGCTCCTTCAGGTGATTGGGCATATTGCCTCGTGGATTAACGTGTTGGTTAGATCCAGTGACTAGACCCAAAGAGTTATGAGTTCAATACCAGGCTACAGCCGTCGCGAACGAAAACTTGGAAGATTGAGTTGAAGAGAAATAACTGAGATATCAGGAAGAGGCAGTCCGTTTTCATGCTGGGCATGTTTAGATTGGTCCCTTATATCTTATTAACTTCAGGTATGTTCCTTAATGTCTATTATTTTTGTCTTTTTCTTTTACTGTTTAGGCTCGGTTACCTTCCCACCCACTCCTTTTGCCGCTTTCAAGTTTTCACTAAGACACGCCCGTGCACACACACACACACACACACATCTATTCCGGAATTTTCTATTTCTTCGTAAGTTACGAAAGAGGAAAATAAAAAGAATATTGTTGCTATATCCACATTGGTGCTGCTGTTCAGTCCTCACTTTACAGCTTGCACAGAGTTCAAAAATAATTTACACAGCCTCGTGGGTGATGCGTTATTTTCCACCCTACAATCTTTTCCCTCACAGACGAATTCTATCGCTATTTCCATGGCAAATGTCCAGACGCACTGCATTACTTAGTTCCATCATTTCACTTCTTTAAAACTAGGACATGTTATGCGATATTTACAGGGTCAGATCCTCTTCATATCTCATTGGTACGAAGGCAGTTTCATTTATATTTAGTTTCTTCCCAAGAACCGCTACTTTGTGGAACGATCTCCCGAGAGGGTGCTTCCCCGATCACTACAATGTTGACCTCTTCAGGTCTAGGGTGAACAGTTATCTAAATTATATATCCTCATAAACAGCACTTCATCCGTTTACGTTCATATAACAACCTCATTCCGTAATCCTCTACCTTGAGTGGCTCTTGGGCCGTTTATAGCTTGAACACACAAGTGACAGTTAAAAAACAATACTTCATATTCATTTTCACGGATTTTACAACAGGTACAAGGAATAAAATAACATTAAGGTAAATGTTAAGCCAAAAAGAATATTTTTTTTGCACAAGTCATCACCGTTAGTTATGCATTTTTGCAAGTTACGAACAAGAGATCAGAGATCGGGAACGTAAAAATGGTTTCTCACATATGTTCCTGGCGATACTGCTAAACGCAATTTCCACTGCCTAACTATGCTCATATTAATGGTTTGGTCTCCACAAACGTTATGTATGCCCCGATGGATATCAATATATGCAAGTTTCCTCACATGGGCAGATTCGGTGACACTCCTATGCTTCGCCTGCACTTTCATGCCAGAGGCCATTTTGCCACACTGCTTAACTGTTGGTTGTAAAACGGAAGGAAAACGAGTTATTCGCAGGAAGTTTGAACCTCTAGTTCCATACTTTTGTGATGTGGACTGATATTAATAAAATAAGAGGCAATACCTTCGGAACGAACCTCATACATTCTTTCGTCTCCGAAATATCGCCCAAGGATCACAGAAATTAATCATTGGAAATCGACGATATGGCCAAGAATGGTGTCATCAGTATCTAGGATGTAAGCGATGAGCAAATCTCTTGTACGACAATTGGATCGTACTCACCACCTTTTCCCCTCCACTTCGTGACGCTAAATGAGTATGGAATGCGAGAAATAGGGCAGAATGTCTTTCCAATTAAAAACAGAATCATCCGCTGAGCCAGACAGTGTTCTTTTCTTTTTCTTCATAGCGCTGTCTGTTTTATTCGTTCTTTCTGATTTTCGCATATTCATTTTTTTTTCTTTTTTTTTTTTTTGATTCTTTCAGCTATATTTTTGTATTTTATCTGTTCAGAGTTTTCGTCCAAGAACTTTATTTTTTCTTCTTTTTTTTTTTTTTTGTTTTAAACCCAGCAATTCATTATCACTTGAGGTAACTTTCTATTTTCATCCTTTTTTCCTAATTTTCCTCTCTGCCTTCTTTCATCTCATCTCCCCTTCAGTACATCCCCCCCATTTTTTTTTCTTTCATTTCTCTTCCTACTTTCATCTGTTCTTCCATTTTTCTATGTCTATTTAGTTCCTTTCTTTTAAATCTCATGATTTTTCAACTATTATCATACAACACATTTCGTTCATCCCTTCCAAGTCTTTTTGTGATCATCATTTCTTTGAGTTTTCAACCTTAATTTTCCTTTATTTTCATTCTTTTATTTCGATCATCCATTTGTTCTTTAACGCCCCCGCTTTTTTTCCTTTAATTCTCTTCACTACCTTTCTTTCCTTTTTCAAGCTCATTTTAGTCATTCTTTTCCCAGTTAATTCTGGCATCTCTCGTTTTATTCAATTCTTCATTCATCTATCACGTCTTTCAGTCATTACTTTCTTCATCTTAACGTTTCTTCATTCCTTCCTTCCTTTTTCTTCTTCACACCCTACAGTGTTCTTTCTTGCCTTCCTTTTTCTTCTTCACACCCTACAGTGTTCTTTCTTGCCTTCCTTTTTCTTCTTCACACCCTACAGTGTTCTTTCTTGCCTTCCTTTTTTTCTTCACCTACAGTGTTCTTTCTTGTTCTTTTTCTTCTTCACTTTTTTTTCTTGCCTTCCTTTTCTTCTTCACACCTACAGTGTTCTTTCTTGCCTTCCTTTTTCTTCTTCACACCCTACAGTGTTCTTTCTTGCCTTCCTTTTCTTCTTCACACCCTACAGTGTTCTTTCTTGCCTTCCTTTTTCTTCTTCACACCTACAGTGTTCTTTCTTGCTTCCTTTTTCTTCTTCACACCCCTACAGTGTTCTTTCTTGCCTTCCTTTTTCTTCTTCACACCCTACAGTGTTCTTTCTTGCCTTCCTTTTTCTTCTTCACACCCTACAGTGTTCTTTCTTGCCTTCCTTTTTCTTCTTCACACCCTACAGTGTTCTTTCTTGCCTTCCTTTTTCTTCTTCACACCCTACAGTGTTCTTTCTTGCCTTCCTTTTTCTTCTTCACACCCTACAGTGTTCTTTCTTGCCTTCCTTTTTCTTCTTCACACCCTACAGTGTTCTTTCTTGCCTTCCTTTTTCTTCTTCACCCCTACAGTGTTCTTTTTCTTGCTTTTTTCTTCTTCACCCTACCTTTTTCTTCCTTTTTTCTTCTTCACACCTACAGTGTTCTTTCTTGCCTTCCTTTTCTTCTTCACACCCTACAGTGTTCTTTCTTGCCTTCCTTTTTCTTCTTCACACCCTACAGTGTTCTTTCTTGCCTTCCTTTTTCTTCTTCACACCCTACAGTGTTCTTTCTTGCCTTCCTTTTTTCTTCTTCACACCCTACAGTGTTCTTTCTTGCCTTCCTTTTTTTTCTTCTTCACCCTACAGTGTTCTTTCTTGCCTTCCTTTTTCTTCTTCACACCCTACAGTGTTCTTTCTTGCCTTCCTTTTTCTTCTTCACACCCTACAGTGTTCTTTCTTGCCTTCCTTTTTCTTCTTCACACCCTACAGTGTTCTTTTCTTGCCTTCCTTTTTTTTTCTTCACACCCTACAGTGTTCTTTCTTGCCTTCCTTTTTCTTCTTCACACCCTACAGTGTTCTTTCTTGCCTTCCTCAGTGTTCTTTCTTGCCTTCCTTTTTCTTCTTCACACCCTACAGTGTTCTTTCTTGCCTTCCTTTTTCTTCTTCACACCCTACAGTGTTCTTTCTTGCCTTCCTTTTCTTCTTCACACCTACAGTGTTCTTTCTTGCCTTCCTTTTTCTTCTTCACACCCTACAGTGTTCTTTCTTGCCTTCCTTTTTTCTTCTTCACACCCTACAGTGTTCTTTCTTGCCTTCCTTTTCTTCTTCACACCCCACAGTGTTCTTTCTTGCCTTCCTTTTTCTTCTTCACACCCTACAGTGTTCTTTCTTGCCTTCCTTTTTCTTCTTCACACCCTACAGTGTTCTTTCTTGCCTTCCTTTTTCTTCACGCCTACAGATTCTTTCTTCCTGCCTTTCACCTTTTCCTCACCCTACTGTTTCTTCTTTCTTTTCTTTCACTTTTTTTTTCAAATAGTTTCTCCCTTTAATTCCCTTCCTCTTTTTTCCATCTCAATCTTTCATTCTTCCCCGTCTTACCATTTTCCTTTTTCACTCAATTCTCCTTCATTTTCTCTTTTAATCCTTTTCATTCCTTCTCTTCAATTCTCCTTCCCACACTTCCTTTTAATGCTCGGAATCTTTCACTTTACCTCATCTATATTTTTCTTCATTTCTCACTCTAATCCTTCCTTCTCACCTCATCCGACATTTTTTTCCAATCGTCTCCTGCCGTTTTCAGTTCTTTCTCATAGTCGTCTTTCCTTCCGTCCTTGCTTGCTTACTTTATTTCTTCACATTTTCCATTTTCTCTAAAAGATTCACACCTCACACACTACACCACACAAACGCCCACACATCCGTCATGTTTTTCAATCATAGATTGGCAACTCTTTTCATTCAGTTTGCTTGCTTATTTCGCCTCTAATTTTTTTTTGTTCAAATTTTTTTTTCCTCCGTTTTTTTTTTCTGCATTTTCTTGTAATCACTGATTCTACAAGTCTTCCCCCCCTCCCAATAACATCCACCAAAGCCTTTTAAAACATCCCTTCAGTTAATGCCGCTCCGGGTAAATTAAAAAGACCAAACATTCAACAACTCGACCTTATAATTTCTGGTCTATCGAAATGATGTTCTTGAAAGTTGGATGGTATGTGACCTTTCGAAGATCCACTCTGGTGGCATGAGGCCAAATTGGAAGAGGTTTTGATTGCGAAATAAAAAGGTTAACACGATGAGAAGGGGGATGAATTTCGTTCGGTTTTTATCAATTAGCGGAACAACAATTGGCATGCGATTACACGTGACTACCAAATATTTACACAAGTAAAACAAACACATATTTAATAACAAATTGTTATGTTTAACTTGGTTATACTAAAGACATATCAAACCCTCGGTTCATTAATGTCAAATACAAGTTTTGTTTTATATTTGATACAAAAATGGAACAAATAAAGCAACATACATCCGGTCTTACAGAGAAAACAACACAAACTAAAACAACAAAAAACATAACCACCCCCGCAACAACCTGCAAAAACAAACAAAAACCTAAAAACAAAGCAACCCCAAACTCGGACACTATTTGTAACATACTTGTTGACAGCACTAACATAATAGCATCATCTACATGCAAAAAAAAAAAAAAAAAAAAAAAAAAAGGCTAAAAGTAATGGAAGCCTTATTAATAAAAAAAAAACAACACTTAATAATATTAACTTTTAACATAATATCTTGACCGTGTTTTGAAAAATGAAAACATTATATAAATATTATTATTATATTATATTATACATGCAACAAACTATTCCTTATTTAACAGTTAAAATATAATCCTTGAAAATGGCTAAATGTATAGCCGAAAGCGCTCGGATAAGAACAACATCCGAACAGTTTTTATGTAATTTATCATCCGAAAGGGGGTGGGGGAATAGATCGCATGAGAAATTGCATAAAAAAACTAAATAAAAGCACCTTGTCTGTCGTTTTCAATGAAATGTGCATGAAAGAAGGATTGCTGCCTAAATACACACACATCTCTCTCTAATATATATATATATCTCCACTTAAAAATAACCAGCATTAAGTAACCCATAAAGATTGATATGTTGCTAAACAAAATCAACCAACCAATCTATCTCAAGTGTTGCAAAATCAAAAAATCTTGAGAAAATTAAAGAAATGTGTTTAACGTCTGGTTCAGTGAAATGAAAAAAAATGTTGATTTCAATTCTTTTCATTTGTACCCCCTTACTTCTTAAAAGAACGACAAGCATATATATCTATGATTGTTATTGCAATATTTTCTTAAAGTTGTTAAGCCCAAATATTTAACGATGCAATAGGTGAATTTCTACAGATATTTTATTGTAGAACTCGCCATAAGATTGTTCGATCATTAACTTAATATTCATCAGAATATTAAAATCGAAAAAGCGTGAAATGTTCACGTGTCTTTGTAGTCTTCATAATCTTCCATTTCTACTTTCTCCTATGTTCATATTACACAAATGACTTCGTAACTTTCTACCTTGAGGGGTTCTTGGACCTTGAATTATCTCGGGGAGATTTTAGACAATTTGCACCTCATTTTATTTGATGCTTACCAGTTTTGCAAAAAGTTACTGGTTATAACATCAATAATACTGATTATGATGATTGTAAGCACTTCCGGTCCCACTAGGGAATGCTGGGAGCAAAACGGATCCAGTGGCAATCTGAAGAGAACAGTTAATTTGACCACGCCTCGTGTAGTGTTGTGTCGTGTCTTTTCAGCTGTCAGACTCATAAATTATCGTTCCAGTCAAAGTCCAGTGGAACCCACGGCATCGTCGGTAAAACTCATAGCTGTTTCTTGTTTCTTGTTTCCCGTTAATATTCCTTCTTTTAGTTCCAATCAATTTCGTTCGACCTCGGTATGACGATATACTAAATCCGCGTACTGGGTAAGACGATAAACTACGTCCAACAGTAAGGCCTCTGATCAGAAGGTTTTGAGGGGCGTGGAACCACCTCGTAATTGCCGGTGTGCCCATATCCATCCTGACTCGGGGTGGTAGCATCTGTTACGGTCCCAGCTACGAGCAAATAGTAAACATCTAAACTGGGGTAAAAACACCATGAAAGTAAATTACCAGAGATACAGTTTTCAAGATAATGTAAACTATTACCAAAAAAAAAGTAAACTATTACCAGAAGTTTTCAAGATAATGTAAACTATTACCAGAGATACAGTTTTCAAGATAATGTAAACTATTACCAGAGATACAGTTTTTCAAGATAATGTAAACTATTACCAGAGATACAGTTTTCAAAGATAATGTAAACTATTACCAGAGATACAGTTTTCAAGATAATGTAAACTATTACCAGAGATACAGTTTTCAAGATAATGTAAACTATTACCAGAGATACAGTTTTCAAGATAATGTAAACTATTACCAGAGATACAGTTTTCAAGATAATGTAAACTATTACCAGAGATACAGTTTTCAAGATAATGTAAACTATTACCAGAGATACAGTTTTCAAGATAATGTAAACTATTACCAGAGATACAGTTTTCAAGATAATGTAAACTATTACCAGAGATACAGTTTTCAAGATAATGTAAACTATTACCAGAGATACAGTTTTTCAAGATAATGTAAACTATTACCAGAGATACAGTTTTCAAGATAATGTAAACTATTACCAGAGATACAGTTTTTTCAAGATAATGTAAAAAAATTACCAGAATACAGTTTTCAAGATAATGTAAACTATTACCAGAATACAGTTTTCAAGATAATGTAAACTATTACCAGAGATACAGTTTTCAAGATAATGTAAACTATTACCAGAGATACAGTTTTTACCAGAGATAATGTGTAAACTATTACCAGAGATACAGTTTTCAAGATAATGTAAACTATTACCAGAGATACAGTTTTCAAGATAATGTTTTACCAGAGATACAGTTTTCAAGATAATGTAAACTATTACCAGAGATACAGTTTTCAAGATAATGTAAACTATTACCAGAGATACAGTTTTCAAGATTTACAGTTTTCAAGATAATGTAAACTATTACCAGAGATACAGTTTTCAAGATAATGTAAACTATTACCAGAGATACAGTTTTCAAGATAATGTAAACTATTACCAGAGATACAGTTTTCAAGATAATGTAAACTATTACCAGAGATACAGTTTTCAAGATAATGTAAACTATTACCAGAGATACAGTTTTCAAGATAATGTAAACTATTACCAGAGATACAGTTTTCAAGATAATGTAAACTATTACCAGAGATACAGTTTTCAAGATAATGTAAACTATTACCAGAGATACAGTTTTCAAGATAATGTAAACTATTACCAGAGATACAGTTTTCAAGATAATGTAAACTATTACCAGAGATACAGTTTTCAAGATAATGTAAACTATTACCAGAGATACAGTTTTCAAGATAATGTAAACTATTACCAGAGATACAGTTTTCAAGATAATGTAAACTATTACCAGAGATACAGTTTTCAAGATAATGTAAACTATTACCAGAGATTTTTTTTCCAAGATAATGTAAACTATTACCATTACCATTACCAGAGATACAGTTTTTCAAGATAATGTAAACATTACCAGAGATACAGTTTTCAAGATAATGTAAACTATTACCAGAGATACAGTTTTCAAGATAATGTAAACCATTACCAGAGATACAGTTTTCAAGATAATGTAAACTATTACCAGAGATACAGTTTTCAAGATAATGTAAACTATTACCAGAGATACAGTTTTCAAGATAATGTAAACTATTACCAGAGATTTTTCAAGATAATGTAAACTATTACCAGAGATACAGTTTTCAAGATAATGTAAACTATTACCAGAGATACAGTTTTCAAGATAATGTAAACTATTACCAGAGATACAGTTTTCAAGATAATGTAAACTATTACCAGAGATACAGTTTTCAAGATAATGTAAACTATTACCAGAGATACAGTTTTCAAGATAATGTAAACTATTACCAGAGATACAGTTTTCAAGATAATGTAAACTATTACCAGAGATACAGTTTTTCAAGATAATGTAAACTATTACCAGAGATACAGTTTTCAAGATAATGTAAACTATTACCAGAGATACAGTTTTCAAGATAATGTAAACTATTACCAGAGATACAGTTTTCAAGATAATGTAAACTATTACCAGAGATACAGTTTTCAAGATAATGTAAACTATTACCAGAGATACAGTTTTTCAAGATAATGTAAACTATTACCAGAGATACAGTTTTCAAGATAATGTAAACTATTACCAGAACATTTTTCAAGATAATTACCAGAGATACAGTTTTCAAGATAATGTAAACTATTACCAGAGATAAGTTTTCAAGATAATGTAAACTATTACCAGAGATACAGTTTTCAAGATAATGTAAACTATTACCAGAGATACAGTTTTCAAGATAATGTAAACTATTACCAGAGATACAGTTTTCAAGATAATGTAAACTATTACCAGAGATACAGTTTTCAAGATAATGTAAAATTACCAGAGATAAAAAGATAATGTAAACTATTACCAGAGATACAGTTTTCAAGATAATGTAAACTATTACCAGAGATACAGTTTTCAAGATAATGTAAACTATTACCAGAGATACAGTTTTCAAGATAATGTTTACAGTTTTCAAGATAATGTAAACTTCCAGAGATACAGTTTTCAAATGTAAACTATTACCAGAGATACAGTTTTTCAAGATAATGTAAATTACCAGAGATACAGTTTTCAAGATAATGTAAACAACCAGAGATACAGTTTT